CCATGATCTGCAGGCAGAGTTAACAAGTAGCATTTGTCAGCAAAACCGACTCCAAGTCAAGAGCGATATTTCTATTGGATTAGAAGACATGTGCTCAAAGGCCTGCTTGTTTACAGAGTAACAGGGCTTGTTTACAATGTCACCTCACTGGGAGTTTTGTTGCCTCGTTCTGAATCACAGAACATGGCGCTGCGCAGACCTGGAAATGTAGTCCATTTCGCGGCGTGAACTGCAAGGTACCGTGTAGATTTTACTTTCATTGTGGTTTGAAATTCACTTGTCCATGCCGATTCTTTCCAACACCAACATATAAAAATAGCCGTGCAGGTGCACTTTCAGTGCCTCACATTTCAGGCCACAGAACAGCAATCAACTGCACCATCTGTCCGACCAGACAGGTTTCAGGGGTCATTTCCAGGCAATGAAGACAACTGGATATGAAGGAGAAGTCACCTGACTAGAATTCCTCATAGAAGTAAACACAACATGTTGATTCTCTAAGACACAAACACAACTGGTGCTGACACGACAATGAGTTTTGGAAACCTGTGGCTCCTATTTAAAGTGTCTAAAACGAGGGAAACTCTTGTCCACAAAACTGAAATTGTACAAAACAAAAAGGGACCGAACCGTCTGAACACTGGTTTATTTGGCGGGCTCTTTCATACAGAGTGACTTGCGGTATTTCACTAGAACAATGCCACTGAAGCACCTTGCTCTAGGGTACAAAAGAAATCTCTCACTGGGAATTCGAACCCAGGACCTTCTACTTAAAAGACCAGAACCCTGACCAGCGCATTAACACTACCCATCCAGCCTGATCTCGTTTCGGAAGACATAGCAAGGTGTAGCTGGCTGGTACTTGTACTGGGACAGGTCTCCTCAGAAACCCATTTCCTGCTGTAAGTGGTCACTGTGGACCAGTAGGTGGTGCTCTTTCCCCGGAACAGAATTTGTCACTGTGGTGACAGGTCAGGTGACGTAACAGGTGCCATCCTTTGTGGAGGATGTCAACTAGTCAGGACCTCGGTGCATTAAACAAATCCCATGGCCTCGTCTGGAATGATCCCACCTTCAGCAGCCAGCGTGGCTACCCTCAAAGTCAGGCCAGGGATCCTTCAGGACGTAAAGAGCTAGACCGCAGATTCGCGTTTTACGAGACATATATTCACGCGAATTCGTGTATAGGCGGTCGGTGACCGAAAAAAAATAAAACGAAAAGCAGAAAATTTCACAAACGCAAACCTGGCGCGGCGCGCACCTGAGCTCCAGAGCCGACAGCACACCGGGTTTTAACTGTTATCAGAACACTTTAAACTACACACATACTAATACACGCACGATTGATCTGAGCTGTTCAAGGGGAGGGAAACGGGAGAGCTTAAAGGGGTGTTCTGATTATATGCGAGTTGGGGTATCCGCGTTATGTCAGGAACTACCTCGTAAAACGCGAGTCAACAGTATATTGCAAGGAATTGTTATGTCCTGTCCTCGCTGTATTGTCCGTTGGTACCGCTCCCAAACGCCAGAGACGCCACAGACACTATCCTTACATCCCAGAAGGTAGCGCTGGCGTTATGCATAGAACTTTTAAACAAACGGGGAGTTTAAGATGTACGAGGGACACACATCCTGGGTCACCAGATTATTATTCAGGTGACCGTGAGGACCCCTGTCTCTTTATATCCGACGGCGCTGTCCCCGCACTAAACACGGGTGTTTCAGCCGGCTTCGTGCGTGGATCCGGCTGTCTGTGACCCTCGGACTTTTTTTGTGCGCAGAAACGCAGATAATAGAGCATCCCCCCCCCAAGAAAGAATAAGTTTCGGCCACGGAGTTTGCCGGAACAGGAATGCAGAATGCAGCTGGTACATATTGACTACCCTCCAATCGCTTTTAAACGGTATGTGAAGCACGTCGACTTCAATCAATCAATGCAAGAACATTTATCAGACACCGTGTGGACTTCGGATGGGGCCACAGACACGGCAGCCCTCCGCAGCCATCGGCCCAGACCGGGAACCACCCAAAAGTAAATCGCGCAGCTGAATCGGCGACCAGCAGTACGAAGGCGGCTTCACTTACGGGATCCGGCGTGACCACCACGTCGTCGGCCGCCCCACCCAGGCAGGGCAAGCACATCCCCATGCTTGGCGAACAGCGTCGAAGGAGGAGGAGGAGGAGAGGATGAAGAAGGAGGAGGAGAAAGATGAGCCGACCGGGAAACAGCTGGGTGTTTATGTGCTACTCCTACGGCAGCGGGTGAGCGCAGCTGTCGCGACGGCCAGCAGGTGCACAGGCTCCAGCCGACATGGCCGTGCGTCTACAGTGCGGGATCTGTGCGTCGCTCGGATCTACAGCCGCGCCAGCTAGCAGGGATAAGGGCAGCTCCGCAGCCTAGATCTCAAGACAGCAGATTTTTTTTTTCTCCTTGATGCATCAGCCTAACCTCTTCTTCAACCGCCGCGGCATGGGGTCAAAACGGGCACTTCCCAATCGCAAGACGGCCAGGCGTTACAGGCTGTCCAGAAAGTACTATGTTGATCCCGAACCAACCCCTCGAAACGGAGAGGGGAGGGGGCTGACGTCACTGTGCCAGAGGGATTACAATCAGCTGGTTGAGTCCTGAAACCCCCTCCTCTGCTCCCTAAATCCAGCATGGGCTGGAATCAAACGGCGCCATCGCCTGGTGCGGAGGGATAATTTCAATGTATGTGTACTTGAAATTGCAAGGACTCAAACAAATAATTGATATACCCAAAGCCAGGGGTGTTTGGGTTAATGGGTTGCATTTAACATAAAGCACTGTGTTTATTTTAACTGCGCTTAATATGAGCAGCAAGAATACTCTGTATTACATTCGACATCACCACTTGTTACGATACCTAAAGCACGTCTAAAGAATAAGAGATCAAAGGTCGCCAGATACTTTACCTTTCAGGTTTTTTTAAAACCTTTCAAAGCGGCAACGTGGGCACTTTATCAAGCTTCTGTAATAACCAGAGACGGCCGCAAGATGGCGTATTCGCGCCGCTCAGGCGAGCGGAGCACGCATGAGCTTGTATTCCCTCAAGCTTGCTGTGCGTGCCAGGCCATTAATAACATCATTAGGTGCGTTTCTGCTTTAGAGGTGTTTTGCCTTAAAACAACATCTTAAGGACACCTAAGGGAGTTATCGCAGAGGGCGCGCTGATTTCTTGAAGGATCAAGCGAGCCTTCTTCGGGGGGAGTCTCTAGATTAATGAGTAGGTAAAAGGACTCATACTCTTGTAAAAGGTGTTAATGCATCACGCAGCGCAACAGGAGCTGACAGAGGAGATATCCCTCCGGGGCTGATAAAT